AGTTAGCGACAGCGTCTCCAGGGTCAGGAAAACAGCCAAAGGCGAGCTGTTGCTGGAGATCAAGCGCAACTCGGAGGCTCAAACCAGTGGCATCAGGGATCTGATTGGCAAAGCCCTCGGAGCTGGAGCCACGATCCGCACGTTGACGCCCCAAGTCTCCTTCCGGATATGGGACCTCGACGAGCTAACAACAAAGGAGGAGTTAGAGGATGCGCTGGTCAAGCAGGCAAACCTCCCCTCGAACTCGGTGACCGTTAAAGGTTTACGAGCCTTGGCCACAGGAAGTCAGTCCGCAACCTTCACGGTTCCGGCGGGTTTTGCAGGCGCCCTCAATAACCTTGGCAAGGTGATGGTCGGATGGACCAGGTGCCGGATTAAGGAGTTGGAGCCCCAACTTAAGTGCTTTAGGTGTCTGGACACGGGCCACACGGCCAGCAGGTGTCGGAGCCCCGTAGATAGGAGCAAGGCCTGCTTTAAGTGTGGGAAAGAAGGGCACAAGATAGCAGAGTGCCAGAACCCAGCGAACTGCTTCAAGTGCGAGCAGCTTAAAAGGAAGGACACGAGGCACCAGGCCGGAAGCCGCTCCTGCCCACTGGCGGCGTCCTCCAGAGAAGGCCATAAGCACAGGGCATGAAAGTGATTCAGATTAATCTGAATCACTGTGCGGCGGCGCAAGATCTGCTGTCGCAAACGGTCCGCGAAAGCGGAGCCGAGCTTGCTGTGCTAAGCGAGCCGTACAGAGGCGGACGCAATCACAATTGGGCCGTGGATAGATCCGGCAAGGCAGCTCTGTGGGTTTGCGGAAACACGCCCCTGCGGCTGGAGAATGTCCTCGCGGACAAAGGCTTCGTGCGTGCCAAAGCTGGAGGCTGGTGGGTCTACAGCATATACCTCGCCCCTAGCCTCTCGCTAGCAGAGTTCGCTGTTATCCTTGACAGGCTCGCTGCTGATGCTAGAGGCCGTTCTCCGACTCTGCTAGCGGGCGATTTCAACGCCTGGGCGGTCGACTGGGGTAGCCCAAACACAAACGCACGTGGCAGAACCCTATTAGAAGTGCTCTCAACGCTGGATGTGGCCCTACTCAACGTAGGACAGGAACTCACCTTCAGCCGGGTGGGAGCTGGTTCTGTAGTAGATCTCACCTTCGCCAGTCGGTCGAGAGCGGGGCAGTGCACGTGGATGCTCAGTAGGGTGTACACGGCAAGCGACCATGCAGCGATCTTCACCACGTTGGACGCCGGGACAACACGGCCACCACCTCCCCCCGCGCAGCAGCGCAAGTGCTTCAGGGTGGATTCGCTCGACACCCAAGCCTTCGCGTCTAGGATGCAGAGAGTGGAAGCGACGGGCGACCCTGAAGCAATGGCTAACTCGGTGATGTCACAGGTGCTCACGGCCTGCGAGGAGTGCATTCCTTCCAGGACCGCCCACTCTAGGCATCGCGACTCTGTGTACTGGTGGAATCACGAGATAGCAGAGGCACGGAAGGACTGCGTAAGAGCCAGGCGGCAATACCAACGGTCGTACGGTTCCCAGTCACACCTGGTAAAGCGTGAGACATACCACCGGTGCAGAAGGGCTCTCAAGGCGGCAATAAAGGGCAGCAAGAAGAAATGCTTCCTTGATCTGTGCGAGGCAGCTGACCGAGACCCGTGGGGAAATGCGTACAAGATTATTGTGAAGAAGGTCGGTAGAGCCAACAACCGCGCCCCACTGGACGCCGAAAGCCTCGAGAGGATAGTCGCGCACTTGTTCCCCAGGATGACTAACCCGGAGCTTGCAGCAGGGGCTGGCACCTACCCGTTGCATGAGCTGGAGCCCGTCTCCGAAGAAGAGATGCTGGCAGTGGCGGCAAGGATCAAGGTGGCGAAGGCGCCAGGCCCGGACTGCGTTCCCAACAGGGCGCTTAAGCTAGCGATTTGTCTCCGTCCGGATATATTCGCGGCGCTGTTTGATAAGTGCATGCGAGAAGGGCTCTTTCCCTCAAGGTGGAAAGCGCAAAGGCTGGTCCTGTTGCCTAAGCCGGGAAAGCCGCTGGACGACCCAGCATCCTTCAGACCCATATGTCTGATTGACGGGGCCGGCAAGGTGTTGGAATACCTGATTAGTACGAGACTGGAGAGGGCCATAGTAGAGGCAGGAGGCCTCTCTGACTCCCAGTACGGGTTCAGGAAGGCCATGTCGACCGTCGACGCAATCACCAAGGTGGTGGACATTGCCTCCGAGGCTATCGCCGGACAGCGCTGGAAAGGGGGCTCTAAGGAATATTGCCTTATTGTCACCCTGGATATACGCAATGCCTTCAACACGGCGAGATGGGGCCGGATAATGGATGCCCTGTCCAACTTCGGGGTTCCCACCTATCTGCTCAACCTGATGCGAAGTTATTTTCACGACAGGGTGCTGCAGATAGACTCGGACAGCGGCACTCAAGCGGTCGAGCTGTCGTGCGGGGTTCCGCAAGGGTCCGTGCTTGCGCCACTTTTGTGGAATGCAATGTACGACGGCGTTCTCCGGCTCCCACTACCAGGGAGAACGGAGATTGTGGGCTTCGCAGACGACATAGCGGTGGTCACTGTCGCAAAGGAGATCAAGAGAGCAGAGGAGACCAGCAGCCAGAGTATCGCCATCATTAACGAGTGGCTGTCGAACGCCGGATTGCAGCTAGCGCCGCAGAAAACCGAAGCTGTCCTGGTGAGCAGCAGGAAAAAGGTGGAGGTGGCAAGCGTTCGGGTCTGCGATGCAACGGTCAGATCTTCTAGAGCTATCAAATACCTAGGAGTGATGATCGACACCAGACTCTCCTTCAGGGAGCATCTGACGTACGCAAGCTCTAAGGCTGCCACGGCAGTGAGAGCGCTGTCCAGGATTATGCTGAAACACCATGGCCCAAGGCAAGCGAGCAAGCTCCTTCTAGCGAGCGCAGCTAGAGCGACCATGCTGTACGCAGCCCCTGTGTGGAGTCACGCCATGGCATCTCCTTCGTACAGCCGTGGTCTGGTTGCCTCACACCGTCTGGCCGCTCTACGCATCTGCAGTGCGTTTCGGACGGTCTCGGACCAGGCGGCGCTGGTTATAGCTGGCACCCCGCCGATAGATCTGCTGGCCAAGGAGCAAGCAGAAATACATAAGAAGGTCCACGGCCGAGTCCTATCGGCCGGGGAGAAGAAGGAGGCACGAGCAGCTGCAAAGAGTGCATCTCTAACCGCTTGGCAAGCAAGATGGGATGCCTCACCAAAAGGGCGTTGGACGCACCGCCTAATACCGTGTCTAGAGGCGTGGACCAAGAGGGCGCACGGGCAGGTGAACTTCTTCCTGTCCCAGGTCCTCAGTGGCCACGGTTGCTTCAGAAGTTACCTGCACAGGTTCGGCCACGAGGAGAGTGGAGGCTGCAGTCGTTGCGGCCATGATGTCGAGGAGACAGCCGAGCACGTGCTGTTCTCGTGCGAAAAATTCGTGAACGAGCGTCGCACGGTTGAGACCCTTCTAAGGACCAGCATCACGGTAGAAAACCTTGTTCCCGAGATGCTGAGGAACGAGGAAAACTGGCAGGGAGTCTCCAGCTTTGCCGCCACGATCATGGGCAAGCTCAGGATCGAGGAAAGGCGCAGGAACCAGGAGCAGACGTAATGGGGAGCGGCGCCCGCGCGAAGCATTGCTTCGCTGCCGTACCGCGCGAGCGTTATGCCCCATCTACTGTAACCCCATTTTCCATTATGTACATGTTCCCCCCCCACTTTTAACTCTAAATAAACGAATTTAAAAAAAAAAAAAAAAAACACACAACTGTACGAGAGAGAGTGTTTTTCTACTCACAGTGGTTGGACGCGTTTTTCCGAGCTCCGAAAGTGAACCGTCTAGGAGCCAGTATAAACACCTCGGAAGCAGCTGAAAAGCAGTATTAGTGCAGTGTGAGACACCTCGGGACAAGGGTACGTACCAGAACCGGCCCAGGGAGGATATCCGAATCTTGGGAATCTTGGTACTCGCGATCGCCATAGACCCCGAGGGCAAGGGGGGGACCGCTCTCTCGTCCAGTGAGCTCCTCACTCTCACGAGGCCCACCCATACGGCCCCAGTTAATATTCCGCAGCTGGCTCCAGTGGGGCAACGAGCAGAAGGCCAAGGAACTAGCCGCTATCCAACCCCTCCGCTGAGGCGGCGCCAGTCAAAAGGGGCTCTGGGGACCGAGAAGGAGCGGTATAACTCCCATCAGGCATCCACTGGGGAAAATCCCTGTGCACCGAGGGACCCCACTAAGGAGCAGGTGCGATGAGCCAAACGAAACCGCCTGCAGGCCGGGACGACGAGACCCAGGCATTAGCAGTAGCTAGAGCAGAGGAGGAACTGCTGCGAAACTTCCAGCGCAACAAGCAGAAGATGCAACACTCGCCTCCCGCGAGCATGCCAGAGAAGCAACCGGTGTCGGCACCGCCAAATGTGCAGGGACCCGTGTTTGTTTTCGGCGAGACTGAGGAGGAAACGGCTACTCCGAAGAGAAGCTTTGATGCTGTGAGCCCCGATGGGAACCAGTCAGGAGCGCACAAGAAGCAGAGAGTGGACACTAGCGCACCAGCACTAGCCGAAAAGCTGGGGAAGATGCTAGACGAGATGATCGCCAAGTTCACGGATACCAAGACAAACAACAAAAAGGTGGTCCGCCACGTCACCCAGGGGACAATCGACTCCATGATGGCGATGAAAAAGCTGCAGGTCGACATCAGTGCAGCGCTGGCCGATGGCCACCCAAGGGCTCTACCTCGAGCGTAAGCCAGCAGACCACTCCCACGCTGACAGCCACGATCCTTAAAGCGGCCTGCCCCACCGGGCCAGGAAATTCGGCATGGCAACAGGTCAGGGCCAAGCCTAAACCCAGGAATTCCCAACCGAGACCGGAGAGCAGCGAACCCAAAGGGACTCGAGCACCAAACGCTGTCATGCCCAGGAAGCAGCGCGCCGACGCTATTTTAATAAACTGCAGCGAAGGCTCGTACGCAGATATGTTGAAGCTGGTCAAAACTGAGCCCTCCCTCCAGGGACTCAAAGATAATGTTCAAGGCTTGCGAAGAACTGCAAATGGCGGACTCCTATTGAGAATGCAGAAGCCTCAGGACCCGTCCACACAGCAGCTGCAGGCAGCACTCAGGACGGCCATATCCGATAAAGCAGAGGTGGCGGTCATGCAGGAAACTGTGCAAGTGGAGATTCGCGACCTGGACGAGATGACCAGCGGCGAAGAAGTCACTATGGCTCTGTTTGCCGGAGAGGATTCAGACATCGCAAGCAACGCTGCACCTAGGATGCGGAAGGCGTTTGGCGGCACGCAAACAGCAACCGTCAACCTCAGGCCTGATCATGCGCGGCAACTGCTCGATAAGGGCAAAATCCGAATCGGATGGGTCGTCTGTCGCATCAGACAGAAGACCGAGCTAAGGAGGTGCTTCAAATGCATGGGCTATGGGCATACCTCGACGAGATGCAGGGCCTCAGACTCAGTAGCCAAGGCCACACAAAACTCCTGCTTCAGATGCGGGGAAGAAGGCCACAAGCACTACACGTGCCAAGCCAAGCCCAGGTGTATCCTATGCACCAGAGGAGGCAAACCCGCGGGTGAAGCTGCGCACGCTACTTTGAGCAGGATCTGCCCTTAGTACCTGAAGGCCATCCATAACACGCAGAATGGTTAAGTTTTTACAGCTTAACTTAAACCACTGCAGAGCTGCCCAAGATCTGCTGTCACAGACGGTTTTCGAGGAGGAAATTGACATTGCTGTACTGAGTGAACCGTACAAGTCAAAGGCAGAGGGAGTATGGCAACAGAGTGCGGATGGTGGTGCAGCCGTATGGAGCTGCGGGCAGTCCCCCGGACACCTGTCGCAGAGGGCGTCGAGACCTGGCTATGCAAGGGCTAAGGTCCAAGCAACCACCATCTACAGCTGCTACCTTGCCCCGAGCTTGCATATAGATGCCTTTAGAGACATCTTGCAGGAGATCGCCCGAGACGCCCGCGGAAGATCCCCAGTACTAATCGCTGGGGACTTCAATGCGTGGTCCACCGCCTGGGGGAGCTCGAAAACGACTCAGCGGGGAACCATCCTTCTGGACGCCCTGGCCACATTAGACGTTTGTCTCCTGAACGATGTAGCTAGATGTACCTATAGCAAGGCAGGCAGAGAGTCAATCATTGACCTGACTTTCGCCAGCCCGGAGCTCTGCCGGACCAGCCACTGGAAGGTCACGGATCTGCTCACATACAGCGACCACGCAGCCATTATCACCCAGACGATGCACAGCCAGCAGGGCCCGTCTCTCCGGCAATCTGCGTACAAGGTACACACCCTTAACGCAGATACACTCCTAAGCAGTATGGATGGCAACGTCATCACTGGCGACGCCAACACCTGCGCCGACATATTAGCTGCGAGAATCAAGGCTGCTTGTGATGCCGCCATGGCGAGCTCCACTAGAGGAAATGGAAGGAGACCAGTCCCCTGGTGGAATCATGAGATATCCGTCGCCAGGAGCGAGTGCCTCTCTGCAAGGCGAAGATGTCAACGAAGTCGAGGGCGTCCCACGCAAGCGCTGTTCGAGACATGCTACAAGGAGAAGAAAAAAGCCCTCAAAATCGCTATTAAGACGAGTAAGAGCAGGTGCTTCCAAGAGCTGTGCGATGCAGCAGACCAGGAACCCTTCGGCTCGGCCTACAAGCTGGTCATGGGCAAGCTCTACAGACCGCCGACTCCAACCTCCCAGGAACAACTTGGAGCTATAATCTCCACGCTCTTCCCGTCGCAGCCGCCCCTCGTGCTGCCAAACATAGTGAAGCGATCTTCACCAGCGAGGAGGAATTACTGTGCGCGGTGGCCAGCAGCAAGGCAGCCAAAGCCCCGGGACCCGATGGCATTCCCAACGCTGCACTTCATGCCATAATGAAGTCATACCCAAGCCTATTTTCACAGGTATACAACAGGTGCATTGCGGAGCGCACTTTTCCAAGAGCATGGAAGCAGCAGAGACTAGTGCTTATCCCTAAACGAGGCAAAATGAATGACGACTCGTCCTCATATCGCCCCCTGTGCATGCTCAACACACTGGGGAATATCTTTGAGCGCATAATCTGCAACAAGTTAGAGAGAGATATCGAAGAGCGTGGAGCCCTATCGAATCAGCAGCACGGTTTCAGGAAGAAGCGGAGCACGATCGACGCGATACGAGAGGTAACGCTAATGGCAGCAAACGCGATCGAAGGCGAAAGATGGCAGGGAGGCACCAAGCAATACTGCCTGGTCTGCACCCTAGATATCAAAAACGCTTTCAACTCAGCAAATTGGAGCTTAGTCCTGCAGGCACTCCAACACGGCGGCATATCAGGGAACCTCACCCTCCTGATAGCGGACTACTTCAAAGATCGCGTCTTTCTGTACACATCCGACGACGGCAACCAGATGCATCACGTGACAGGTGGTGTACCCCAGGGATCTGTTCTTGGGCCAATCCTGTGGAACGTCATGTACGACGGGATCCTGAGACTTCCACTACCAAATGGCTGCGCCGTAGTAGGGTTCGCTGACGATATAGCGCTAGTCACGGTGGAGAAGCACCTGCCCGATGTCTCTGCTAAATGCAGTCTTGCAATCGACATGATGATGTCTTGGCTGAAAGACAATGGTCTCTCGCTCGCCGAACACAAAACGGAAGCAGTGCTCATAAGCAGTAGAAAGACCGTAGAGAAGGTCACCTTCCGGGTTGGCTCGACATACTTCGAGTCCAGTCCGGCGATCAAGTACCTCGGAGTCATGATCGACCATAGGCTGAATTTTAAGAGCCACCTGGAGTACGCAGCGGCCAAGGCATCTAAGGCCACGGCCGCTATCTCTAGGATGATGGCCAACACCCGTGGCCCAAAGCAGCATAGCAGACGATTAATAGCTACAGTGGTGACCTCGACCATCTTGTACGCCGCTCCGATTTGGGCGGAAGCCATGAGGACTGTCAGCTACAGCCGGCAGTGTAAGTCTGTCTACAGACGCTGTGCTTTGCGCATCTCGAGCTGCTTCTGCACGGTGTCAGAAGAAGCTGCATTGGTGGTATCGGGAGCAATCCCAATAGACCTACTGGCAGAGGATCGCAGGACTGGGAATTCAGGTAGCAGAATCCAGAGAAGCAGCACCATGGCTCGATGGCAGGATAGATGGAATAACGCGAGCACAGACGATGGACCTACAGGCTCATCCCCGATCTGGTTCCCTGGTTGCAGAGACGACATGGTCAGCTGGACTACTACACCACGCAGATCATCACACGACATGGTTGCTTCAAGGCTTACCTGCACAGGTTTAAGCATGAGGTCGACCCGTACTGCGACTACTGTGGCAGCGCTTTTACTGAGGACGCGGAGCATGCATTCTTCGTATGCCCCCCTTTTCTCGGCGGAACGAGCCGCGCTGGAAGCGGCAATTAACTGCCGCCTGACACCCGACAACTTAGTCTGCTGCATGATGGAGACCCCCTCCATATGGGATGCGGTTGCTGAAATGGCAGCATCCGTGATGCGAGAGCTGAGGCGCCGGGAGCAGACCCGTCGCACTGAAGGCCGATGAGCGGCATTAGGACCGCCAGCCGCCCCCGTGAAGTATAGCTTTGCGGCAGTCCCACGGGTGCGGACTCTTCCACTCTTTCCCTTTTTGTATATTACACTTAACTCTATATTCTTTTTTAATAAAAAAAAAAAAAAAAAAAAAACACAACTGTACATTTAGCGGGCATGAAGCCCAAAGTTACTTTGCCCAAGAAGGGCCAAATTAGATTTAAATTAAGACCGCAACGAACAAGCGTATACATTTTTCAAAGACGGACTGTAGCGACCGCGCTGAAGACATTTCCCCTCTCCGCTGCCGACGCAAGCCGACGCGAACAGCGGCAGAGGCAGCGACATTTCCCCTCCGACGATCGTGCGTGTTTACGTTTTGATCGTGTTTATTTACATGACGATCAAAACATAAACAAAAACAATAATAAAGCCGACGGCCGAAAGCTGCGCTGCCCGGACATTTTTGGCAGAGACTAGGCGACAAGGGCTTTGCAATTTTCGACCGCGATCACTTCCCTGGCAGCGTCGAACGCGATCGTGACTTCTCTGGCAGCTGCGAACGCGATCGGTCGAACTTAGTCCCGCGATAAGTCCAAAAGGACTCGAAAACCATCGACGCAGTATCCAAGTCCCAAAAGACACGCGAGTGCCCGAGGAGCCTTCGGCTGACGGACACGTGTCCTCGCCCACCGACAACAGTGGGTGAGCCATGTCAGAGTAGCTTTTCTGGAGTGTGGCGTAGGGCCAGGCAAGGTGTTGTTAACCGTAGCCAAAGTTAGGAATAAATGTACACAGTTACGTAATAAAAATGAAGATCAAAATCGTATCGTTTTCTCCCTCTCACTCACACCGAACTCCGCGTAGCAACAGTCAACCCTTATTGTGACGCGTGCCAAAGTGTTCCCCTCCCGCTCACTCACTCGCCGAGCTGGTGGCTGGGTTCCCCCGCACCAACTTCGCGTGGCCGCTGGGCAAACTCCGGGCCGGAGAAGCGGGACGGGAGCGGGATTTGTCGCCGCTGGGTTTTCCCGGGCACAAATCTGGCGTGGGCATCGGGGCTGCTGGGTTCTCCCGAGCTACGAGTTCATCGCCGCCGGCGCGTGTTTTCCCCTTTTCCCTCTCCTTTCCCTTCCGATCTGCATTTTGCCCGCCATCGCCGCTGGGTCATCCCGGGCGGCGGAGATTTTGCCGATCGAAAGAGTCGCCGAGCGGGCGCCGGAAACGGAGGAGCACCTGGCCATCGCCAGGGTAATCGCGTCCAAGGTTCCCATTTCATCACGTCAGATTTTTCCCCTCGAAAACGAGCCCCCTTTCGCTGCTATTATTTGCCTAGAAAATTCATTAAAAGTCGGCGTCCATGTTCTGGCCGTCTCTAAAAATATAAATATTTCTGGAGAGGAATCCTGGGCCGCTGAGGTTTACCCCGGCCTAAGACACATCCTTACAGTTTTTACACGGCTAATACATTTGCATACTCAATTGTAAATTTGAAAACAAAAAGTTCACAACTCAGCTAATAATGCCTGAATCCACTTCAGAATTTGTATTTATATTAGTTTTTACACGGCTAATACATTTGCATACTCAATTGTAAATTTGTAAACAAAAAGTTCACATCTCAGCTAATAATGCCTGAATCCACTTCAGAATTTATATTTATATTAGTTTTTACACGTCTAATACATTTGCATACTCAGCTAATAATGCCTGAATCCACTTCAGAATTTTTATTTATATTAGATTTTACACGGCTAATACATTTGCATACTCAATTGTAAATTTGTAAACAAAAAGTTCACATCTCAGCTAATAATGCATGTATCCACGGCAGAATTTATATTTAAATTAGTTCTTACAATGCTAATACATTTGCATACTCAATTGAAAATTTGTAAACAAAAAGTTCACAACTCAGCTAATAATGCTTGTATCCACGGCAGAATTTGTACTTATATTAGTTTTTACACGGCTTATACATTTGCATACTCAATTGTAAATGTGTAAACAAAAAGTTCACAACTCAGCTAATAATGCCTGAATCCACTTCAGAATTTATATTTATATTAGTTTTACACGTCTAATACATTTGCATACTCAATTGTAAATTTGTAAACAAAAAGTTCACAACTCAGATAATAATGCGTATATCCACTTTAGAATTTATATTTAAATTAGTTCTTACAATGCTAATACATTTGCACACTCAATTGTAAATTTGTAAACAAAAAGTTCACAACTCCACGGCAGAATTTGTACTTATATTAGTTTTTAGAAGGCTAATACGTTTGCATACTCAATTGTAAATTTGTAAACAAAATGTTCACAACTCAGCTAATAATGCCTGAATCCACTTCAGAATTTATATTTATATTAGTTTTTACACGTCTAATACATTTGCATACTCAGCTAATAATGCCTGAATCCACTTCAGAATTTTTATTTATATTAGTTTTTACACGGCTAATACATTTGCATACTCAATTGTAAATTTGTAAACAAAAAGTTCACAACTCAGCTAATAATGCATGTATCCACGGCAGAATTTAGATTTAAATTAGTTCTTACAATGCTAATACATTTGCATACTCAATTGTAAATTTGTAAACAAAAAGTTCACAACTCAGCTAATAATGCTTGTATCCACGGCAGAATTTGTACTTATATTAGTTTTTACACGGCTTATACATTTGCATACTCAATTGTAAATGTGTAAACAAAAAGTTCACAACTCAGCTAATAATGCCTGAATCCACTTCAGAATTTATATTTATATTAGTTTTTACACGTCTTATACATTTGCATACTCAGCTAAAAATGTCTGTATCCACTTTAGAATTTATATTTATAATAGTTTTTACACGTCTAATACATTTGCATACTCAATTGTAAATTTGTAAACAAAAAGTTCACAACTCAGATAATAATGCATATATCCACTTTAGAATTTATATTTAAATTAGTTCTTACAATGCTAATACATTTGCATACTCAATTGTAAATTTGTAAACAAAAAGTTCACAACTCAGCTAATAATGCATGTAACCACGGCAGAATTTTATACTTTTATTAGTTTTTACAAGGCTAATACATTTGCATACTTTATTGTAAATTTGTAAACAAAAAGTTCACAACTCAGCTAATAATGCATGTATCCACGGCAGAATTTGTATTTATATTAGTTTTTACACGGCTTATACATTTGCATACTCAATTGTAAATTTGTAAACAAAAAGTTCACAACTCAGCTAATAATGTCTGTATCCACTTTAGAATGTGTATTTATAATAGTTTTTACACGGCTAATACATTTGCATACTCAATTGTAAATTTGTAAACAAAA